GAACTGGATTCTACAAGCTTCTCAAATGAATTCCCCCCCTCTTACTTTGGGCCCCCATGATTCGCCATGCTTTTCTTTGACGCATCTGCGGATGCAGTAACTATTAATACCAAATAATGAAAGTAGATTCTGCCCACGTGGCTATGTCCTGCATATTCAGCGGTTGGGGAATCTGTATTCATCCACTCTCAGTTCCCCTTAAAAAAAGAACTTCACGTAGTCATCCGTAGAAATACCTCACAAACTTTCTGAATTCTCTTTGGGGACACTATCACATGCCACCAAGTTCTTTCATTCACTCCAATCTTTAAAATGAATGAATATACGGTTGCTTTGCAGACGTCTGGTGACGATATCTCCCTCCATGACCAGCTTTAAGAAAAGGTTAGAATCATGAATAGAGCCATAAAAGTGAGCAATGTGAATGTGCGCAACTAGGCATTAGGTTGATATGCTCCTACGAATACAAGGGTTGTCCAAAAAGTAATTTATGGATAGTTTTAACTGAGCCAGTATTGTTCTTTGGATTACTTACCGACTTAAAAGAGAGTTTTAAAAAAGCAGGCTTTACTTTTGGGGTAACCCACCAACGTACTTAAGGTAAGCCTATCCTATGATACATGAACGCTAGACTTGACACTGGATGTCCTAATGGGGAGAAATGCCTTTTGACTTCCCTACACTAATTTGAACATATACCCTTGGATCACAAGACTAGAAATTAACGCCATTTGAGGGCATTCAAACCTCGGTACATGAAAAATCACTAGCACTACAAAGTTAAGCTTATTAAGATAGCATTCGACCCAACAAGTCCGCACAATTTCATGAAAATCGGTCAGGAACATTGCAGTATTTTTTTTACAGTTTTTTCCAATTGCTAAAGTCCTATTTCATATCTCAATGGACATTTCTCAAAACTGAACGTACGATCCGCAAAACGCTGCGCTCTTTTGTCATATCTATGCGTCCGGCAGTCAAAAGGGCGTCCCTTTGTCAAAATCAAAGTACGTTCTTCAATATTCTAACGTACGGGGTTAGGAACGCACTTTTTAATTTTTTAATTCATGGGTTGGTATCCTCATGATGACGATGACCTATTTAAACTCACCCTTGGCTTCCCTGCTCTAATTTTTCAGAATGTCTAGCGGGTGAATTCCGGTGCAATTCGGGACTCCCATTGTGCGTCAGTGAAGACTTGTATAAGGACGGCATCTCGGATTGTCAGGATGGCAGTGACGAAGGTAAGCCTATTTCGTACAGCTCTGTTTCTTCTTGGGATCCCAGAAATCCTTACATTTTCTAGAGCATTTTGAGGACGGAACCTCTTAGTACATGACGTCATAATTCATTTTCGCAGCGATTGGATTCCCCAATTGAAAGTTAATGATAGAGTTTCTGGTCAGAGGTCATTTTCACACCTGCACGAGTCATGACCTCTCCCCTTCTTCCAAGAGCCGACGGTTTCATCACTCGATCGCGGTCTCGTCCCCGATCCTGCAAAGAATGTCGGCAGGGAAATGCAAGCGGCAGGCACTGGAAGGGGTTCGGGGCCGGGGAGTGGAAAGTGAAATGGCAGGCCCTGGAAAGATGAACCGAGTCATCAACCAAATGTCCCGTGCCTTCCCTTTAATGACGCTGCACGTGATGTCGTTCGGACACTTTATGTACCTACGAGACTGCACGTAGCTCTGGCACCTGATTGGATCGATGACAATCATTTCTCTTTACGGTTCATTGATTGCCTCTCGGAGGAACCCGCTGAGGTTTCCTATTCATTAACCGCCTTGTCCTCCAGGCTCCTGCTTTTACCGCCAACAAATTGGTGTTACGTAAATGGAAAAGGAAAGGCTCCGGACGAAGGGAATAAATGACTAAATCCATGCACGCAAGTCCCTCCCTCGTGCGCAAATATATCAGAACCGGTAACGATATCTCCGAAAGGATGGATGGATGGATGAGACCCTCCACCGAGACGAGTGGATTATCCTGGGAAGGGAACTCGTTGTGTAAGCATCATAATAACATGAAGGTAGAAATGAGACCGCAACAAATGAGTTGGACCTCTCCGAAGTTCTGACCCCTTGACACCCCGATCACAAATCATGCATTGTCTCAGGCCGTATAGGAATGATGAGACTTTTTTCTGCTCGTGGCTCCTGTGTATGGTTATGCAAGAAGCGCGCATCACGCAGTGACAAGCACGGATGGTGTTTCTCGTGCCTCTTTCTCCTGGAGTTTTTCCTCGAAACTCTTTTGTAAGAAACCATCGTACGCGGGGTTCCTTCTTTTCTGCGCGAAGAGCATGCGTAAATGATGCACCATCAATATGCAGTCGAAGTGATGCAAGTGTCATGACTCGAATGTCAGGGTTACGCCAACGGATGTTGGAAGGGCGGAGAGATGATGAAGAAAAAAAAGAAAAAAAAAGAGACCGGAAACCTCGACCGTTATGACTTCTCCTTTCCCGTTAGCGGTAAAAGTGCCGGTAAGTCACACACACGCACACACAGGGAGAGAGAGGGAAGATATTCTCCTGGGTGACGTCACCCGAGGTCAAAGGTCATGCCCTGCCCTTCTTGCGGTCCCATCCTCATCATCCATACCACATAGACATGCAGCTCCCTAATGTTTGAGAAAGTCTTTTCCCTCCCCCTCTCCCTTCCTAGTTCGTTTCATGCGCATCCCAGACTCTTCTTGCATCATCAACCGTTGTGCTGGGTCTCGAACAAGAAACGATTAGCATCCGTTTTAGTACCTCTTAGGGCATCTGTATGCAGCATCCCTTCCGAAGTGATTGTTTCCCGCGAAGCTTTGGAATGCGACGGAAGTCAGAATACAATAATGAGTGGGGAAAGAGGCATTGAAAGAGAAGAAACGGGCGAAGCGTGCGTAATCCCCAATGACGTAAGGAGACAAAGATCCAATTATCATGCATTGGGAAAGAAAAGTTGATGGAAAGAAAGGTGGAATAAAAAATGTCTGGTCTGTCTTGTCTTTCTTCTATCTCGTGTTATCTCTCAATGAAGAAGACAATGCACCCCTGTGAGTGTGACGTAAGGAAAGAGTCAAGCCGTGATCTAAGGGAAGGGGATTGAGAATGAGAAATGTGGGAGGGCTGGCGTTTCAACGGTCATTTTCCCTTCCAGAGTTTCAACATCTTCCTCCTTCATCTAGGTGTCATCATCGTACCCTCCATTTTCATTCGATCACCGTATCGATCCGACTTTTTCTTTATCTCCTTCTAAAAGGCTGCGAGCCGGATTGGTTCATNATCGGCGAATACACTTTTAGTCACCCATATGGCCATCGGCAACCATCTGAACGACCTCGGCTATCGAAAGGTTTACTCGACCTTGGTCCCTCATCGGCTCAGCGACTCTGACAAAGCAAGCCGTGTCAGTGTCTGCGAATCACTGCTTCTTCGTCCGCATAGAAAGTACCTTCTGAAGGAAATCTTTACTGGGGATGAGAGCTGGGTCCTCTACGTCAACCATACTCGCAAGAGTCAGTGGCTTTCACGAGGAGAATTGCCGCCACGCGAACCGAAACCAGAGTTCCACGAGAAGAAAGTTCTTCTCTGCTGTTGGTGGGATTCAGAAGGAATGTCGTACTATGAGCTCCTGCCAACCGGTACCACCGGGACTGCCGTCGTCTACGCTGCTCGACTTCGGAAGTTGGCTGGCGTCATTCAAAAAGACCGTCTCAAACGCAACAAAGATCTCCTTCTGCATTACAACGATCGTCCACATGTTGCGAAGATGACTCGCCAGACGATTTCGGAACCGGACTGGGAAGTTTTACCCCATCCAGCGTATTCTCCGGACTTTGCCCCATCCGACTATCACTTGTTCCGGGGCCTCAAGAATCACCTGCGAGACAAGGCGTTCGACGATCGAGCACAGCTCGGAAATGATGTCGGCCGTTTCTTCGCTTCGCAATCGCCAGAGTTCTGGGCAAAGGGCATCGAGCAGTTACCCGTGCGTTGGGAACATGTCATAGACAACAATGGTCATCACATTGTAGACTGAAATTGCATTTCAATAAAGTTATAAAGTTTTGAAAGATTTGCGCAGAGTGTCGCAATGAATTTCTTTCTAACCCAATATTGCAAATGAAATCAAACTATATACTTGTATTCCTCTACTGAATTAGCCTTGGTCTTTTCATACACATTTTTTTCTATTTGTGAAGATCAAGTGAAAATTACTCAAGGTCAAAGCATTCAGGGCTGCTGGACACTCCAACGTAAATTTACTTCTCCCTAACTGTAACTGTTACCACACGCGAAATAATCGCGGTGGCGAACGACAATTATTAGCTTCGCAGTGAAGGGATTCATTCATACCGCCTAGCCTATGATTTGGAAAGAAGAGGCTCATAGGCCTATGTATCTAGTCTATGTCCTGGAGGGGCAATAGCTTCATAGGTCTATCAAAGACACATACCAAGAAATGCCTCAGCGTAATATATTACCTCATGAATTGTCATGGGCAAAACTCTAAAGTTACCTGTCTGTGATACCACATTTTGTAAAGCCTTTTATTAACAAAATAGTTCGCAACTGACGGCCAATTGAGAGATATGACATAAAATATATAACATGGTAACAATTTTGCTAGGCAATTGTATCCTAGTCATAGACAATGTATTTGAGGTAACGTACAGCAATCCTCAGCGTGCTGCACTACTTCCTGATGCTCAAATTTGACTATTTGCTTACTTATCAAAGTTTGCCGCACCTTTCCATAGCAATGCTATTTTTTTTACTGGTCACCAGGAGGAGGCCCATACTTTCTCATTTTTCTAGATGATTGACAAGCATGAATAGGACTGAAATTAAGAGGATACATTTCTCAATAACGATTACTTATTCCCAAACGTGATGTTTCTGCATAAAGTAAATGGATATGCCGAAAAACGGACACTGCCCATAAATTATGTGTAGCAAAAGATACAAGGAAAAAGTGCACTTATTACTGCTTTGCTTTGAATGGAAAATGCAGAACTGTTTGTGCGATGATCTCAAGGAAGTGGCTTCTCCAACGTCTTGCAGCCCTCGAGTCGAATTTGACATCCGAGACCATCTCCAGGTTAGTGAACAACCGCACCCTAGGTCATGAGAAATTCATCCATTGAATCTTGAAACCTTTTTTTTCTAGAGAGGATCTATCATAGATCGTCAAAATGAATAATCGGTGCAAATTATCAATATTTAAAAGGCAGATTCACCATTTCTGGATGGGAGCTACATTTCTCTTTTTAAAATATCTCAATAGAAATACTTCCTTAATGACCACATTAAGATTCAATCAGTGAGAATTAGAGAATGAAAATGTAATGTCTGCTCAAAGGTATGCTTCCATGACTGTTATAATAAGTGCTCGTTGACTGTTCTCAAGAAAAAGCATCTTACTTGTATTATGTTGGTCTTGAGATGCTGTCAAAATCGCACAAAGCAAGCACCTAGCTGCAATACATGTTACGGACATTAACTATTGACGAGCATCATATTTTGTGCGTCTAATTGAATTTGGTTCTGTGCTAAGTTTGGAGGCACATATTTTCTGAGTTAACGCATTACTTCTACTTTCTTAGTAGTCATATGGCATTTGTTGTAACACATATTTTATAGTTAACGCTTCCTACCTGTTGCAGCACAAACTATTGTTCGTGTAACATGACATTTCGATTCGGAATTATCACTATGTTGTGATGTTTAGACTCACTTGCTCCAAAAGTATCCTCGATGATTAATTTGTGGTATTATCGAAGGATATTACTAGTATTCAGATGCAATTAATCTCCAGTTTTTATTATTTAATCTGAACCAAGCTTTCAAATAAGAGCCTCATATGTTTCAGCTCGTCTTTCTGAGAAGAACCAAGTTGAAAGAAATATATATATGCATCCTTGCTCTTGTCATTCCGCCTGAAACTTATCAAATCATTCATTAGGGATTATTGGAGGTTTGCCATTTCTACATTTGCTTTCCCATAGGTATGCATGGGAGATGAAACTACACTCCAATTCAGGAAAGCTGAAGATGAGTACCTTAGGAAGTTCTACAAAGAGGCTGGGAAAATTCATTATTCTCTCCCATCGGGTTATAATCTCAAATACAAAGACCTCAAATACCTGCTCACAGAGTCACAGAAAGACCTTGATAATGGTGAAGGGGCTCATGTAGAACTTTCAAAGCAAACACCTGATCATGCAGCTAAGGCATTAGTATTCCATCGAATGAAAGATATATGTGGTTGCGCTCCATCTTTGGTGATAGCTGACTTCAAATTTTGTGAGACATTCAACATCGATGAAACCTATCATCGGGCACTTGATAAGAGAGAGAATGAATCGCTCAGCAAAGAACGCCCCTTTCCGACGTTGAAGAATGGTTCTCACTGCACTTTCTTATCTTACCCCACCAGGGACAGAGTTTACAATATTTTCTTTCAGGTAGTAGAAAAGTGCTTGGAACGACATCATCCAGAAACAGTTAGAGAAAGTATTGACTCGGCTGTCAGCCAATGTCGTAGGGATGAAGAAGTGTTCAAAACAATGTGTGGGCCTTTCCTGGACTCAGTCGCAATAGTGGCTGCCTTTCCATCTTTACCCTTCATGGAAAGAGGAGATTTGAGTGAATTCCTTAATTGTGGCGCGTGTCCGCGGAAGATAATGACAAGAGATGATCTCCACACGCCAGACACTCTCAGAGATTTCCTCAAAAGGAATGGGGTGACTGAACTGCCTGCAAGAAGTGAAACGTTTTCTCCAACAGATAATTTGTTCTATAAAATCTTTTCCCTGTACGTCTGTGCTTCATCTTCTGTTCGCATGCCACGGACGGAATTGGAGCACACAATGAAAGCTGACGCCCACCTGAGTGAGACATTATTCATTTTGACTCCAGATCAAAAAGAACTCATAGAGGACAACTATGAGAATGAGGAAAAGCCTTCATGGCTTCTCCCCATTACTGGGGGGTCAGGTACTGGAAAGACCCTTGTTCTGAAAGAGAGAGCGAAGAGACTTGCGAAGAAAGACCCTAAAGAAGAAGTAATAATAATAAATCTTCCAGGTGGACTCCTCACAGAAGACTTCCGGCGTGACCTTCGAGGTAACTTGAAAATATAATTCTGAGAAGAGAAGAGATGGGGTGATTACGCCAAGAATCATGTGTCTAAAGCTTCTGGATCTTGTTTTAATCCATACCTGATATATTCAAATCCAAAGCAAAATATTAGCGGTCAACGAATCTTCGCCATTACTTAGAAAGTTTTGATGCAAGACATGCTTTACATTTCGTGACACAGAGTGTTGACCTTGGAAGTTCTTCTAAATGTATAACTTTTCTGGACGCTCAATTCTCAGAATTCCAAGTTCCACCTAACTCTCTAGTAAACTTTTATGTATTTTGCGGCAGGGGAAATAATTGCATGAAATTCAATTGCCACCAGACCTGTGAGAAGAAGCTGTAGTGTACGACTGACAAGAGTGTGTAGATACTTATCGATATTTGAGTCTCAGAAACATTAAATGAGCACGAGTGGAAATGTTCACTGCTGTTATGGGAGAAGTTGGCAAGGCATTTCCACTTTATATGAAAGGATCACAAGTTTATTTATTCTGTGCTATATAAGTAAGTAAAATGCGAACAACTTACATGTTCATCACACTAGTTTGTGAATGCGTGGTTCCAGTCATTCCTATAAGGAAAACTCCTGAGATTCATGGATTCAAAGATTGACTTCATAGATTGAAACACCTCCCAGTAAAGGGGACCTTTATTCTTGCAGTTTATGGGTTCGTGACCTATTTTGCGCTTTCCCATTGTTGTGGGCTTTCGCTATATTCTTTGAAAATTACTTTAAATTTACTCATAACTCATGAGACCTGGTTTGGATTTTGCTCAGGCGAGAATTCAAGTAAACTTGCATGTTTTCAGGACTGGATAATGTTCGCATATGGGATGGAAAGGAGAAGGGGATATTAGAAAGCCTTGAGGACATCGTGCACTTCCTTCTGAAGCAAGAAAGAGGAAAGCATGTGTTGCTTGACGAAGTTCCTCTCACTTTAGGGATCAAAGATCGGTTAGATGAAGCAAGTCTGTCCGCGCACTGGGCTAAGATCGAGAAGCTAAAAGGTCATATTAAAAGTCTTACCCTTGCATTCCGTCCGAATGATGTCAGTTATACAAAGGACATCAATCTTTCAGAAATATCGATAGCTGGTGGGAAAATGAAAGTCTTGAATGTTGTGAAAAGAAACGTGCGACTCGTATCGGAGCTATTCTTAGCTCTTGGTGATTATTCGCGCCGGATATTTGTTTGTCGAGAACCTACCATCAGGGGACTGAACTTCGGCAGTCAAGAGAAAGAATTCAAGCCCACCATTTTCCCCATCCCTTCATGTGCCGCAATCCATGATTCTTGCAAGAGGCAGTTCACTTGCGTAGGGGTGAGATCCTCCGAGGCGATACTGGCGATCCAGCGCTCAGAAAACATTACGTCTGAGTCACCACTGTATGTGATAGTGGACAGCAGAGAACGACGAGATTGTCTGATCAATATTTTGACACACCTATATAAACAGAAGGTCAAATTCATGGACTCCTATGGAATATTTCGTGGAGAGACAGGATGCTCCATTATGATTGCACTGGATGATCAGTTTCTTGGGTATCACCTGGGTGGCGTCATTGCAATCCTGGATGTTTCTAACTGCGAGTGGAGGAATTATCCTCGTATGATATGCTCCTCCTTCGAACATGTATTCATTGTCACGGAGGATGAAGGTTTGCTAACAGGGAAATATTCCCAGATGAAAGCAGTCATCCCAGTCAAACTTAATGAGAAAACACTCTCAGACAGTGAGAGACAAATGTTCATAGAAGGTGTAAGAGACAATTTTGCAAAAGAATGGAAGAATGAAGAAAAAAAAATGAATGGCTGGAACATGTTAAATGAAGAAGAATTTCCTGTAAATACTCATTCTTTTTCGTTGATGACCACCCTGAACGCCATCGAAGCTGTGGTACCTCTACCTATTAATAACAAGAATCCGTTCAAATTCGCAGTCATATTCGGGCCTCCATTTTCAGGAAAGAGCAAGCTGTTATTTCAAAACATTCAGTGCCTTGCCCAGCGTCGCTGTGATGGGGATGGCGTTCTTCTTATACATATGGGAAGCGCAATGTGTCTGAAGATGTCGCAAGATCTTCTTAAGGATTACTTGGGATCGGTTGATATTTTCCGATCAGTAGCATTGTATCCCCAGGACATAATTCGAAGTGAACGAGTTCATGATGTGAGGTGGAAGTATACAACTATTCATGTTCATGTCGATGATTATCCCATCCAGGCGAGGAACACTGAGGAAGAGATTGAACGGTGGACCAAGGTCCTAGATTATTTAAAAGATACTGACCAAAAGCTTACCCTCACCATCGCCTTCCAGTCCCACTCAAGAGGCGGTCGAGGGATATCCCTGGAGGAATTGGGATCATTTTTCGAGAGACATGGAGTCCAAGTAGTGAAACTCCCGGAATGTAGCCCCCATTCAAAATGCTCCAGCAACTCGCTTATCTCTCATATCTGTAGCAATGAGACTCACACACCATTGCGACTGGATGCCAAATGCCTCCCCACAGCGTCCCGTCCAGGGGCTTACGTTCATGGTACCAGGCCGAAATACATCACTACGAAATACCGCTGCAAAGGCCGTCATTTGGAACATGATTGCATGGGACATGAATACTGCAATCCTTACATAGGCGCATTCATATGCTTCCGATTCGCCATGGAACAAGACATTGGAGTAAATCCCATCCACGTGCTGGCGTCAGATGAGAAGCTGCTTCTCTTTCTGGAGTCATTAAACGAAAAAAATGCAAAGAAACTTATGGTTATTCACCCCAAAGACTTTCGTGGGTGTGAGTCTAGTGTTTCTATAACAGTAAACGTGGAAGATTCCTGGCTTCTGGAGAGCATGTCCAGAGCTCGGACGATGCTTTTCATCATTGATTGCTTACCGGATCATCAGCAAGTTTGGCGCACAATGCGAGAGGAGGGACGCATAGAGGAAGTGGACACAGGTGAGAGTGGTATGCTTGACATGAATGAAGAAAACTTGTTGAAACTCAATGACGTCGGACAATTCTTGAAGGCAAGTTACTCGATCTTTCTCTCCCTCGACTTTCAACCTTGTATCTCGAGTCTGTTTAATCCACCTCCCAAAAAGGCTCTGACATTTGACCTGAACTTAGGTAACCCGTGCAAAAGCACGAAATTATTTAAAGGCTATGAATGCCCTCATGGTCATGGAAGGCGGTCACCAGGCCCCCCTGTCTGCTGGCTGGCCATGTGAGAACGCAAGACGCGGCAAAAGCACCCCTAATTTATCTGTCTCCCTCTGCGCTTCGTTAATCGTCATTGAAATGAACAGGGAACTGACGCCGAGCGAAGACGAAGGGCAACCCAAAGATCAAGGTGTTACCTTAAATCGTCGCCTCGTAGGACAATATGATATGTGGACTTTTATTGGCGGCCTCACGCTACTCACATCGCAACCCGCCGCATACGTTTCTGAGCGTTAGTGCCTCTGGCCACGCTGCGTGTATCTGTTACTATGGCTGCGGAAGAGTCACTGAGCGAAGAAAAAGAACTGGAGATGGCGCACCCATATGAACCTAGTCACCGTTCGCTCCTATGGGATTTTCCTTGATTTTTTCAACCCAACTATCTTCAAAATACTAACTCCTGGATAAACAGCCCCGACACAGCAGGCACAATAGGTTCTCAGAGGAACCAGTAGGCCCTATTGCGTCGTTGGAAGATTTCTTTTTATAATGCATATGGATCCAATACTTCAGTTTCGGCTAATGGCAGAAAAGGGAGATTGGGAATAGGTCTTAGCTAGATGCCGGCGATTCACGTGTGAAGTTATCCATAGAGTTTAAAGCGGGCCTGTGGTGCGCATCGGCAGAGTAAATTCTAAAATCATTATTAAAATTTAAAAAATCGGCAGGTGATTATTGGAGCTCCCGTACTAAATACGGAAGCATACCCTGCCAAGACCCGCCAACACCTCCTTTGAACCTTTGAACGTTCACTTCGTCAAACCAAATAAAATTCGCCTGACTTAATGCCTTAGACCTAATGCGAAATAGGTCGACTGTGATGATGCAAGGGCGGCATAACGTAATCACTTTCGTAGGCATAGGAAACTAAGCAAAGGCAAGTCCGGAACTTGAGGCCCACTCGAGAAATTGGGGACTCGCACCCATGAAAGAACAGTTCCGACCTGACGTTAACAGGCCTATGAGACTCCCTCCTGAATCATTCAGCGGCCTTTTCAACGCTCTACCTAGCATCCGCGCTCTCCGTTCTCGAGGACGGATCCGACAGCCGAGAAGGCTCGAAAGAAACTGGGAGCTTGAGAGTGAGACGGACATACCAACGCGTTCAAGACTTCCACTAACTTGAAAGCGGCCTCCCAGTCAAGTATTTTTCATTGGACCATCGATGGCTTTTCCTCGACGAGTAGACAAGCCCTTAGTCGGACCATCACTGGCACATGGCATTGTTTAAACTTATGGTCAGGCATGTCCTGTTTGCCTTTTCATCCGGCCTACTTTGGCTCCTTGTTGGAAAACCGCACATGCCCCAACCATGAGCCGACTTTTTACAACGATGAAAAGATGCCATGTATATGGAAAAAATCCACATAAAATGTATCTAAAATGTATCTAATGCATATTTTGGATCCCTACTGCTTCTTCCACTAAAAGAGATGAAGCAGTATTACCTGACACAGCTATAATTATTTTGGGCAACTTAGAACTGAGTACATCCGAAGCAACATCACTTCCGGATGCCACAGCATCCAAGACCGGAATCGCATGAGAATGCATGGGTATCTGTCCGCCCGTAGAAGGCCAGGCACGCCCTACACATAGTTAGCTCTTCAATGTCTCCAAGTAGAGAAAAATGGTCGTAGAGCTCATGGTGGAAATTGGGATATTCCCACGGACCTCTGGGCCAAAATTTCCTGACTTATTCTAGGGCTAGGTTACATCTAATATAGACGATCTTGACTGACTGACGCTAATTCTAACCATTTTCCAGAAAGGTTAGAAATCTGAAACTTGGTACACCTTTTACCTTGGTACACCTTTTACCTTTTACTTGGTACCTTTTGGGATGCAGAGTTCAGAAAATATCCGACTTTGGAGGTACATGCCCTGGGGTTACACATTTTGGAGATAGAAGTTTTTTTTAAAATATAATATAATATAATCGTGATGGATTAGGATGTCATCGAAAGTTACCACTGTGCGTCACCGCTTCGGTGATGTAGTGGTAGCATATCTGACCAATAATCGTGAGGTCAGGGTTCAATTCCCGCTTATTCCAGGCTTTTTTTTTCTTCTCCTGCCTTCCATGTCCCGTTGCTTGAATAAAACGGAGAGACATGGAAAGCTGAAACGTGGAATGGACGTGCCTACCGACACGATGACTTCAGTAAAAATGTAAAATTTTATAAGGCTTTTTTTTTTTTTTTCTTCCTTCCATGTCCCGTTGCTTGAATAAAACGGAGTGACATGGAAAGCTGAAACGTGGCATGGACGTGCCTACCGACACGATGACTTCAGTAAAAATGTAAAATTTTATATCCATGCTCTGCGGGCATATTTTTTTGGGGGCCGACGTTTTCAAGTATTTTTTCTTGTCCTGGTTTATTGAGCTAGTGTGGAAAGATGAAACTTGGTACATAATTAACTACCGGAATGCTGTGTGGAGAAAAATTCAGACTTTGGAATGAAATATCCTTGGGGGCATAAATTTCAAAGGGAGGTGTTTTCACATACTTTTTTGGCATTAGTTAAACAGATGAACATGGAAAGCTGAAACTTTGCAGGAATGTGACTACCAAGATAAAGAGTTAAAGAAAAATGTTAAGTCCTGATACATCCTTGGGGGAAAATTTCTCGAGGGGCTATGTTAAAAAAAAAGAAATTGTCGTGGCGAATTGGACATACATGGAAAGGTGAAACTTGGCACACGTATAAGTGACGTGATATTATTGCGTTGAAGGAGTATTCAGCTTTCATGGTATATCCCCTCCGGGCATAGCTTTTGGGTAGATTGGCTTTTGCAAACATGATTTTTCATCAGCGAAAATGGCAAACGTATAAGATTGACACTTGGGGGGCATGTAGTTCACTGAGGTTTGATTTCGGTAAAAATGGTACTTTTAGGGTAAAACCCTAAAAGAATGTGAGGGCACATATTTTGCAATTTTTCATGAATTTTCCGATCCAGCAAAACGGAGAGCGCTAGAAAGTTTAAACTTGGCAAAGAAGTACCTGATGAATAGCTGAGTAAAGAAAGGATTCCACTTTCATATTATATATAGATGATTGTGAGTATCTGACTGACTGACATAAGTGGCTCTTCACATGCTGAGCTCAGGAAAAATTCCACTTTGGGGATGCATGCCATAGGGGCACACTTTTTCGGGGAACATACTTTCAAATGCTTCTCTTTGCTTCAATCAAACAGAGACCCATGGAAAGCTGTAACATGGCAAGAACGTGACTGGTGAAGCTCTCAGCTCAAATGTCAAAAATTCAAATTTCCGAAATATGTTTGGGGTGCATATTTATTGGGGACGTAACGTTTTCAAAGAATTTTTAATATCCTAGCGAATCGGGCAGAAATAGAAAAATAGCAGCTGGCGCACGCATAACGGACATGATGTTGATTTAAGGAATAATACAACTTTTGCTAAACGTCTCTCCAGACCACAGCTTTTGGGTGGGTCGTTCTTCCAAAAACATTTTTTCTGCCAACAAAAAGGGGAAACGTGTAAGGCTGAAATTTGGTGGCATGGAGTTCCGTGAGTCTACATTTCAGAAATAAATTTTTCGTTAAAACCCATCAGGGCATTTTTTCAGTCCCATTTTCCAGAAATTGTTTTTGATCCAACGAAACAGAAACAGAAAATTTAAACATCCCTCAGAAGTGCCTGTTTGATGGCTGAGTAGAGGAAAAATCCTACATTTGAAATATGTCCCCATAGCGTAGATTATAGGAGGAAAGTATTTCAAAATGTATTCTCCACCCTTACAAAAAGGGACACAAGAAAAGATTTCAAGTTAGGCACAATAGAAATCAAATAAGTAAAGATTTTGATAAAAATCAAGGATTTTTCCCCATTTACCACGTATTTCAATGGGGACGTACTTTAAATACGTTTTTCGACATTTCGCAAGGAAGAAACGAATTAATGACTCTCCAAGGTAATGGAGCGCCGAAGGCGCAACTATAGCGAGTTTGTTTGCCCTTCGGGCAAACAAACTCGCTAATATATATTTTACTTGTAGTTCCAGACCTCATGCAGCTGTTGCATCGAGTCCATGGTCATTTTTTTTCCTAGTCGAAGTCTATTCGGTGTCATCCATGATTTGGGAAGCCTTGTTGCGAATAGTTTATATCTTATTGCAAAATTAGTTTTTTTTCGCAAAATTAAGAAAACGGTTCTTGGGAACAAATTTTTGTCCCACAGGGCAAATACTCGGATTAAATCCATAAAAAAATTGTCATCGTTCTTTGTCCCGCGGCTTTGATGCTAGAGCGCAGACACACGACGAAGTGCAATTTTCTGTGGTGGCGAATTTCATTTTCGCATGTCTTTTGGACCTGTCCATGGTGCTGGACGCAACATTCGGATTAATAAGTTTCATATGAAAAATGTATTTATCTTTATTAACAGGTTTCATTTCGGTTTCGAAAATTCCCAAGATGTTAACTTCGGGTTGCAAGAGAATTTTTCTTTAAGACAGGACATGTGACGGACATAAACGACAACGGATGCATTTTACATGACGCAGAGAGGATGGGCGTGCCCGCTTGGCACGAGCACCACATCCGTATCACAGTCCATTAGGTAGGGACACCCCTCTACGGTCTGTAGGAGTCCTTAGGGGCAGCTCATAGGTTGCCTACGCCCATGACTCGCACGAGTGGTATTTGAGGTGTACTGCACCCGCACCTCCTCGACATGGCGCACAGAGGGGCTTATATGGTATCCCACACTAAGCAGACACTCCCCATGAGCGCAGGTGTGTCGCCTGTCTGCGGAGGAAGAGCCCGCAGCCACAGGAACTCGATCCCTCGCCTCCCGAATTTCACTGGGAAGCCAGAACCACTCGGCCACCGAACCCCTGTGTAAAATAAATCTCCCTAATCATCCGAGGATGTGCCTTTGCGATATTAAATTTTCATGTCGGCCTCACGAAAGGGAGGGAAGCAAACACGAAAATTCGGTGATTGGCTCTCGTCTTGCCATCTTTCGGAAGTACAGTCGTCCCTCGCCACTTCGCGCTTCGACTTTCGCGGCTTCACTCAAAGGCAATTCTGCGCTGCCGGAACAATGCACTTTTGCTGCCAAAGCAGCAAAAATGAGGATGTCAGTTGGTGAATGGGAGTAGACACCAGCCGTGGATCAAAAAACTATTTTTGTTTTGGTTATTTTTTTTTTACTTTTGTGAGTGCCTTACTTCTTTTGCTGGGCCTAAATTATGATGCTATGGATCCAGTCAGGGTATCAAATGTAGCTTGGGCTGCTCCTGCCAAGGCAGGTGCCGGAAAATGGTAAGAAGAATTTTAAAATCCTTTATGGGTGCCCAATTCCATGTAATTTTGACATTTAGACCCAGCTTGGTCCGCCCGTAAGCGCTTCAAGTTGGGCGCCCCGTGGCTAATTTACTGTTAAGGTTACTTTGTTAACGGGGCTGGGTGGTGGTGAAGTCGAGGTTGTAGTACCTGTAGAGAGAACATAATTAGACAATAATTTAGGTAAGAGACAGTGCTAAGAATATTTTCCAATCAGAGATAGATGTCATGCGTTGTTCTGGGAAGAATGTCGGAGATAACGGACCAATTCCGGCGCGGAACCCCTTATTTCCATATTAAGAGAGTTATAAGACTGTTTATCCTATGTGGGGATTAATCACTTAAACAAGAACTTCAATTCTTTAGTCGGACAATCGACGATCCTGGGGTTGACTATAAGATTCCAAACGAGTAGTTATGCTAAA